GCTTCTAATTAAATCAATACATATCTTGGATTGTAAGATTCACTCTGATTTCAGAGATGTTAATACGTAAAGAAAAATCTTAGGCTCAATAACATATAATATCATTTTTATAATTAACTAAGTTAATTCACTAAGTAGAAAAAAGAAAAAAAATCATCTGGTCTAGCCATCAGCCAAGAATATATTATCCCAATTCCTCTGGTAAGGCAAGTTAGTGGAGATCCAGAAAAGCCACTCAGAAAATCATAAAGTATATTAGGTTTCATTGTCATCAGGAATGAATCTGGGAATAGTAGCATTTATATTCTAACAGTTCAAATATAAGAACTCAGATGCAGATCTTAAAAACTGAGCAGCAAAATAAGAATTTCCTTAAATAATGGAAATAAGTTCAATTTTAAGATTATTCACCTGTCAGTAAGGAAGGCACAAATAAGATTTTTTGCTTCTTTTGATATGTCATTATCATCAGGGAAGGTAAGTGAATTTTTATGGTTCATAATCTTACTGTAAGTCCCAACCAGAGAATCTGCATAAAAAGGTGTATCACCTAAAAATTAATAGAGAAAACAAAAGTAAATATTTTTCTATACTAGAAAAAGAAGTTTCAAAGGTAAAGAGTCAGTTACCTTTCAAAAAAAGATGATTAAATGTGTTAAGCTAAACAATATACAGTTAATATATAAAAAGAAATAACACATCACAAAGCTGCTCTAAGCCTCTAAATAGCTTTTAAAAACACACACAAAGAAGATGTGGATCATGTTTGTTTCCTACAAATAAGATCAACACTGCTTAACGTAATAAATACTATGTTACTAGAAGAAGTCAAGTGGTGGGTGAGTCTGGGGATGAACAACTATATTAGTAGTATGTAAAATTTTCCTTTACTCACCTACAAGCATTTCATACAAAAATACCCCAACTGACCACCAGTCACATTCTCGTCCATAATAACCATCACCACCTTGGGATTTTAATACTTCAGGGGAAATATAATCAGGTGTTCCAACTGCTGTATCACATCGTACCATACCTTCCTAAAAAGAGTGGCAGGTCAAATTTTTTAGATCAGAATATAAAGTCTCAATTATTTAAAATAACTTTTTTCTTAATAGAAGCTGTGGAATTCTAAATCCTTGGCCTATAACATATCAAAATGTAATGCAAACTTGACAAAAATGAATAGTTTAATCATATATACATATTATCAATATGTATA